CAGAAGTGGGGCTGGGAAGGTGGCTCAGTGGTAGAGCGCTTGCCTTGCATGCATGAGGCCCTGGGTTCGATTCCTCAGCACCACATAAGCAAAAGGAAAAAAGCCAGAAGTGGCACTGTGGCTCAAGTGGTAGAGTGCTAGCCTTGAGCTGAAGAGCTAAGGGACAGCGTCCAGGCCCAGAGTTCAGGCCCCATGACCAGATCCCCAAAAAAAGAAAGAAAAACCCTGTGGCACTGTGGCTCAAGTGGTAGAGTGCTAGCCTTGAGCAAAAGAAGCCTAAGCCCGGAGTTCAAGCCCCAATACTCTCCAAAAAAAAAAAAAAATGAGGGTTCCAGAGGTGGGAATTTGAGGTAAGCAGGGGCAAGAAAGAGGTGATGTTAAAGAGGGCTACAGCAGATCTTGAGTGCAGTTAAGAAATTCGAAATTCCTCGAGTCCAATTAAGGAATTTAAAATGCATCGTAAAAGAGTTACAAAAGATTGATTGAGTTACAAAAGAAAGGTAGGGGTGAGATTCCTACTAAAAAACAGGGGAGGCAGAACTGGTGCAGACCTTTTCTCCTCAGCGGCCTAGACACTCTTCCTTTCTCCCACCTTTACCCCAGGCCGCAGGGGACAACGTTGGACAGTGCAGACTTGCCTAACTTGCTGGCGCAGCCAGCGCTTCCTCAATGACCCCAATCATCTGCTTTGGGGAGACCGGCCTGAGGCCCAGCTAGGGAACCAGACAGGTGAGCCATGGTGGGGGAAAAAAATATTGATACCCCAGGGAAGGCAACAGGGGAGGCATGGAGATGTAGATGGACAGCTGGGTCTAGTTGGTATAAAGGGTGCCACAATCTTAGACAATTAATTCTGCTCTGATTCTGTTCTTCTACCCAGATTCCAAACCACCACAGCCCCTGCCAAACACAGCCCTAAAGAGTTCTAAAGAGAAAACACAGCCTGAGGCTGCTACAGTTGCCAGGGATGGATTTACCTCTCCTTCCACATAAATAAAGTTCAATTGTGTTTGCATGAGTCTGTGATTCTGTTCAGTGGCGTTTCAACTGAATTTCAATTTTGCTTTTCCTATTTCTGTCTGTATTTCTTGTTCACTGCCAAATCTGCCTTTCATCTTTACATCTTTGTCCTTCCACATGACAGGGAGATTCTAGTTTCCATAGGCCTTTTGGTCCCATTAAGCAGCTTCCATTTTCAGGGTTAAAAGTGGCTTGAAAATGCCCCTCATGGAGCTGGGAAGGTGGCTCAGTTGCAGAGCGCTTGCCTTGCATGCATGAGGCCCTGGGTTCGATTCCTCAGCACCACATAAGCAAAAAAAAAAAAAAATCCGGAAGTGGCGCTGTGGCTCAAGTGGTAGAGTGCTAGCCTTGAGCTGAAGAGCTGAGGGACAGCCAGCGCCCAGGCCCAGAGTTCAGGCCCCATGACTAGACCCAAAAAAAAAAAAAAAAAAGAGTTGTTCCGCTTTACAAAAATGATGCCTTGAATATTTAAAAGACCTACATCTTTCATCTTCTGACAGTGAAGTTTAAAAAAATTCTTTTTTATTGATAAACTTCAATCTTATTGTGTCATAAAATTCTTTTTGGAGGTATTTCTGTTGTTTTGTTTCCCTTGCCAGTAATTGAATCTTAATTTTCTTGAAATGAAGCATGCACGTTGTATATAAAGCTCTCTGTTGATTTCAAAAATTAAAGTGCACCTCATGAACTCATACCTCTAATCCTAGATGCTCAAGATGCTGAGATCTGAAGATCTCAGTTTGAAGCCAGCACACGCATGTCCATGAAACTATTTCCAGTCATCCACCAAACAGCCAAAAGTAGAGCTGTGCTCAAGTAGTAGGGTGCCAGCCTGGAGCAGAAAAATCAAAGGGACTGCACCCAGGCCCTGTGTTCAAACCTTACTACAAGTAAGTCCCCTACACCAGAAGATAGGAAAGTGCTGAATCTCCTTAGAAAGGAGACACAGGGGCAGGGACTCTGTCAGAAACTATGCTTGGAATACATTTTGTCCAAAGGAAAGATCTAACAGAGAGACCCAACCCAGTAGGAGAAAGAGAGATCCAATGAAAGAAGAGCAAAGCTGGTAAGTGCAAAGCAGGCTGGAGAACTAAGTGAGAACCTGGTAGGAGGAAGAAGCACTTGATACTTAGTAATTCTGAAGAAAGCTGGGGCAGCACCTGGAAGAAGGCTGAAAAACAACCATGTGTAGCCATGCCTCCTGCC